GCTTCACTGGCCCAAGCTGGCACCGTCATTGTACTCCTCCTGGGCAAGGCAGATCAGTCGCCGGCTTCTAGATGGCCACTCACAGCGGCTGCTAGCTGCTCATGCTGGCTGCTGGCTACATACGGTAGCCCATGGCAACCCACTGCCACAGGGGCTGCAGCCTACGCTGTCCCCGGCAACTCACAGCAGCCCAGCTCCAGGTTGAGCTGTTGTTCAGCATCTTAGCTGTGTCACTGGCCCTCATATGTGGGATCCGAACCGGGGTCTTCTGGCATCCCAAACCAGCTCTTAACCATTGCACCACTCGGCCGGCCCACTTATTTTTATCTTAGTTTTGTACATTAGACAGCCTGAAGTACGGTGAGGTATAAAAGATCTTTGGTTTTCTATTATCATTTCTTCACTCATTGGGATAAACCGAAGAGGTTGACTGAAGTGTGGTCTTCCTGATAATGGTTGTGAGGTGAACAGATTCCATCCAGAGACCTTGGTGTTTATCAGGCCTCTGTGGAGCTTCAGCTTATTATTTCTTCCCCATCCCAAGTTATATACACTGCTTGGTGGAAAACTCTTGGTGACTGGAATATTCTTACTCCTTTTCAAATGAGTCATCTTGCAATAAGCCAGCCACAGCCTTAAAACTGCACTGCCTATGTATAGGTAGGTGGATTTTTACATATCTGAGCCAACCAGAATGGATTCAAATGAATGGAACATAAATCTGGGTGATTACAAATTTATACCACTGTAACCAGTGGTTGTGTCTTACCAAGTAGTGAGACTGGAGGGGTGGAGGTAGGGGGAATGTCTGTTGCCATATTTTTAAAATTTATGAGAGTATACAATCACAAACTACTGATCATCTCTCACACTAAGTAAACGGGATAAAAGAATATATGAGGCATTTCCAGTCATGTAGCGCCATCCAGCATTGCTTACATCAGTGTTGGAAAGAACCATAATCTGCATATCAACACAGTTGCAAGAAGGAATTACAAGACACATGATTTGAAAAGTGTAAATGTAAAATTATCAGTTGCATACCCATTGACACAAAGCAAGCTTCTTTGCTTTGAGCAACACTAATTTTGAGTACTTATTAAGGGTGGTGCATGACACACATTACTCCTTAAAAATCCTCCTAACCCCCGATATGGGAATCTTCAGAAGCAGGAACAGTGTTCTCGCCCTTGGTTCCACATCTAGCTATGCAGCAGAATGAAGTATGGAAAACTATTTCCACACTTTTTCCCCTCTTCTGCTACCCAAATCAACCCAGTTCCAACCTGGATTTGAGCTTAATTTAGTGGTAACTACTAAAGTTTGGAAAAATCTAGCTTAAGAAATCAGTGGGGGGGCTGGCTGAGTGGCTCAGTTGGTTAAGAGCTCGCTCAAGAGTTTGAGCTCTGAGCAACAGNGGTTCGAGTCCAGCCCGAGCTGAGCAGCCGCTGAGCTACCAATAGGTAGCAGGATGGCTCAGCTAAAAAAAATAAATAAAAATAAATAATAAAAATAAATAAAGAAATCAGTGGGTCATTTTTAAATAGTCATGAAAACAATCTCCCCCCCCCGCCCCTCTTGTTAGGGTCTGGTAATACAGAAGTATAAGAACTATAGTTTCCTTTAAATAGTGTGTCCCTCTAGCACACGTGAAATAACTTATCACGTAACTTTTATGTAGGTCATTGTTTTGGATTGTCTTATTTTTACCTTAGTTTTGTACATTAGACAGCCTGAAGTTACGGTGAGGTATAAAAAGATCTTTGGTTTTCTAGTAACCCTTTCTTCACTCATTGGGATAAAATGAAGAGGCCCACAGAAGTGTGGTCTTCCCAAAGGAATCTTCCCTGTGGAACTGAATCTAGTTTTTGCAATTAAAAACAAAACAGTCAAGTACTGGTTTGCTTCACGGTTGGAAGTCCATGAATAATTGACTACTAAAGAAATACTCCTCCCGCCCCTCCCCCACACCCCGCCAGCTTTGCTATGGAGACACCAATAAGCCACAACAGCAAAGGCTGTCATAAAGTGGACCAAACAACGCCCGTGCGGAGACGCAGGCCCGGGGACCCGCGTGGGCCGTCCGCCCGCGCGCGGCGGAAGCAGGATCCTCGCCCTCCGACCCGCCGCGGTTTCGCAGCGCGGGCGGCCGGTTGCCTCGGCAACGCCGTCAGGCTGCGTGAAGCCATGAATCAGGTGCCGGAGATTTTCACGAAGAAGCAGCTGTTGGACGTGCCGGCAGCTTCCGGGCAGGACGTAAGTGCAGCCAGGGCCGTCCCCACCTCGGCGGCCGGTGGAAGGCGGCCATGCTGTCCCCGCCGGGCCCGCGGCGCCCGACGCGGCTCCGAGGCGGGGCCCGGACGCCGCCGTTCCCCCCTGCCCTCCTCCCCGATGAGCCGCCGCCCTTGCCCCCGGGCGAGCGGACTCAAAGAGGTCTTGCTATGCTTGCCTACAAAAACAAAACTATCGAGGGGTATTCGGCAAACGGGCAGCATTGATTCTGGCTCCCTACGCGGATATTTCTGGAAGTGCCATCTCTCCACCGCTAATGGGTTGGTCGCCAAATAAATAGCCATGCTGCGGAGGAAGCAGTCCGGCCGGCTCCGAGAGGGACCCGGGGAGGAGAGGCTGGTGGGCTGGAAGCTACCCGCTCTGACAGGCGTCAACTTGCTGTTTGCCGACTTCCTCTGAAGGGCGGGTCAGTGTGCGAGCCGACTCCTCCTATGATAAGTGTAACTCCTGCACAAGCTTGAGGCTGCGCGGGGCATCGTTTTATTGTGGTCTGAGCCCCAGTTAATCGGTCAATTACTGTGATGGGCCTTGAGATAGTGCAGGCTAAATGAAGTTTCCTTCCTTCTCTTCCTTTCCTTCCTCCCTTTCTTTCCCTTCCCTTCCTCCCTTCTTTCTACTGAAACTACACCTAAAAACAATCAGAAAGGATAAAATCCTGGCTTCAAGTTAAAAAAACAAACAAACCCGCTTTAAGATTTTACATCTTTATTGAATAAAGAGCAACTAGTGGGAATTAGTGTTAAAAGTTCATTGTGACATATGGATTGTAAATTGAACTTTTAATTATTTTTGCTGCAATCATTTCATTTTACAGCAGTTGGGGTTACGATTAGGCATGTGGTACTGGAAAGATGAAACCAAAACTCTTGAATTCAGAAGGTAAATTTTAAACTTTATTATAGCTTTTATAAAAATTACATGTGCTCGGGGTGAAAAGCAATACAAAAGGGCATAAAGAATAAATATCCTCTGAAATTCTACCAATGTAAGCCCCTCAGTGGCAGGAACGATCTTGCTCATAGTCATGACCCTGGAACCATCTACAGAACTTCACAAAGTAGACACCAAATGTTTATCTAACATGTTCAGTAACCAACTAGATTCAAGCAGAGGAAGACTAGACGAAGGGACCAATTAGTTGTAGGAGGATTATGGATAGTTATACAGGAATGAAACAGTGAAAGTCAGGACTAAGTCCATGTTGGTGGCAATAGAAGGGTTCAGGACTAAGAAATATTTAAGAGATGGAATTGACAGGATGTTTGGATAGAATTGATAGAATGTGGTGCCTGGATGTGAAGGGAGAGGGAGATGTAGGTGCTTAGGTTGACTCCCAGGTATCTGGTTTGGGTGATTGGGTGGCTAGGATGGCCCTTCACCCATATACAGAATAAAAGGCAAAATTGGCGACGTGTTTGAAGTTGCTATGACATGTTCACATGGAAACGTCTTTTAGGCTGTTAGACAAATGGAGCTGGAGGCCTGGAAAGGAGTTGGCTAAGCAGATGTAAGTTATAGTTGCATTATAAATATAATGACATATTTAATGTCAAACATAAATAATGTAAAGGCTAAACATATTAGAAAAACAATAAAAAGTTTATATTTCATAGAGTATTTATTTTAGTATTTGAGTAAGCTGTCATTTCCAAAGCAGTGATTTCATTTTTGTTTTCAGATATGTCACAGAAGAGTCTATTGAGTAGCTCCTGAAACATCACACTCAATGAGAGTGAGATAGAAAGACAGCAAATATAGCTTTGGAATTAGACAGACAAAATAATCACAGGAATCAAAATACAGTTAAAGCACAAGAACATTTGGATATAAATTTGTTTTGCCAACATTTTCTTTTTATAAATCTTTTTTGTTGTTTATTTCTTCCTTTTTAAAATTTGTTTTGCCAACATTTTCTTTTTTCAATCTTTATGTATTTAAAGGCCACTTCAATCCTCTCTTCTGTGATGAAAATTGGACCATGCTTTCTACTTACTGACCTTAAGAATTAAATTACAAATTAAATGAAGTTAATTTGTAGTATTTTTCAAACTAATTTTTAGTGCTAACCTAATAATCCACCCAAAGTGGAACTATTTCTTTTATAAGCCTACTAATAAATATACAGATATCAACTTCACACTGACTTTTTCATAAAATATTCATATTCATAAACTAAAATTTCTTCTTAATACTTTTTTTTTAAGATTTTATTCTTAAAATAAAAGGGGAAGGGGAACAGTGTTGGGGAATTGGGGAAGGGGAACAGCCAAGTTGCTGCCCTTCAATCTTAGTTGTGAAGGGCACAGCTAGCTCAGCTCCAAATCCAGTCACCAACCTGCTGCCCATCAGCAGCTCGCAGCCATTTAGCCCAAGGTGCCGTGTTCGTGTTCAATCTTAGTTGCAGGTGGGTGTAGCCCACCATCCCATGTGGGAGTTGAATCGGAAATCTTGTTGCTAAGAGCGCATGCTCTAACCACTGAGCCATCCGCTGCCTGTTGGCAGCTCAGCGGTAGCTCAGCTCGGGTGCAGCTCACTGGCCCATGTTGGAATCGAACCGGCGACCCCGTTGCTCAGAGCTCATACTCTTAACCAACTGAGCCATTTGGCCGGCCCAACTAAAGTTTCTTTTGGCTTGTTACCAAGTTATTCTTTGAAAGTTGCTTGATTTATTTCCACTAATTTTGGAGAATATACATGGGATGATATGATTTAAAAGGTAGATTATATGACATAATATTGAACAAAAAAGGCCAGACATAAAAATGTAAATATAGGATGACCCCATTTATATAATAGTTTAAAATAACAGACAAGAAAGAGCAGTGATGACAGAGGTCAGAACAGAATACTGGCCACCATTGAGGGGTTATCAACTGGCAGGGGCTGGTGGAAGGTACAAGAGAATCTTCTGAGGTGCTAGAAATGGGCTATTTGTTGATCTAGGTAGTGATTACATGGGTATATACATAGTAAAAAATTCATCAAGCTGTCCACTTAAGAGTTATGTACTTTACTACATGTAAGTTATACCTCAATTTAAAAAGTTAAAAAAAGGAAAACAAACCCAAATTCAAAACTCTGTGGAATATACAAATTGGGGGCAATTAAGAAAGATGGGGAAAGGAATACCATGTAGAAGAGGGGGGGATGGCGGGGGGACAGCTCTTTTGTGGTTTGGCTGCTTTGTGTTTAAGCAACTCAGTGTGGTGAACCTCAGAGTATCAGAATTACCTGGGGGGTCCAGCTGCTAGGGACAATACTAGGGGAGAGGAAAGCAGACCTTCGTATGTTTTCAATCAGAGTTAGTGTTTGGATTTAATGGAAATAGACGTACTGATTGCCTTTTAAAGTCTAAGCATATTCCATCATGAATTAAAATACAGGTGTGACGTCAGAGAGGAACGTGCTCTTTTTCTCAGAGACAATGCTGCAGAGACCCCAATGCATGATGATGAGACAGGGCAGAGGCAAAGGAGGTTGAGAGGTAACTGTGGTAAGGATGGGTGCTGCAGAGGCTGAAGGCCTGTTCAGTCACTGCTCTCAGACCTGGTTCTGTTTGGTATCGCACCACCAGCCTTTACTGAACATACATGACAGGATTGCATTTATGCTCTTAGAAAGCCCCCTCCCATGGTAGCATGGAGGGGTGAGATTAGAACTAAGGAGACAAGACAATTATGCAGCAATCCAAGGGGGAGATGACGACTTGCAGAATGGAGAGTCAAAGACTCCTTCTAGAGTTAGCCAAAGGGAAAGAATGACTTGAAGGGTCAGAGGAAAAATCCTGAGACACAGGACTTCAAAGGCAAAAGTTTTCTAAGAGAGATTGGAGTGGCGAGTGGTCAGCAATGTCAGATGCTCAAGAGAGCCCAGGGTAAGGCAAATACTAAAAAGAGGCTTTTCTTTCTATTTAATAAGTTGGGGATTGCTGGGGACCTAGGTGAGCAACACCTAGAAGTTTTAGGCTAAAGGGCAGTAGGGTGGAAATTCAATAAGGAGAGAAATTAGATGAGAGAAACTGAGATAAAGATGAGAAACTAGCAAAAATATACTCTTATCAATAAGTTTACCAGTGAAAAGGAAAGAGAGAGGGTAACCTTTAGGGGGTCCAGTACTAAGGAAAGGGGACTTTTGTTGGTTTTGTTTTAAAGGTAGGGAAATTATTTGTTTATTTTGGGAGAAAGAAGAGATGGAAGAGAAGAGAAGGAAGGTAGGGATAGGGAAAAGATCACAGATTAGGTTGGAAAAGATAGAAGTGGCTTTTCCACTGAGTATGGTGGGAAGGAGATAATACAGACAGGAAAGCATGGGAGGCATATCTGTGCTGCTCTCCTTACTGAAAATAAACCAAACCCTTCCTGGCTACTCTTGGAAGGAGAATCTTTTGGTAGCTAACTTCCCCTGAGATTGCTGCTCCCTTCTCACTCCAAGTACCCTGACCCAGTACCCACGTGGGGCCATTTCCTGAAGCCCAGGAGACAAAGAAGGCTTCCCAGGGGAGGCATAGCCAAGCCAAGACCTGAGGAGCAGCAGGACTTGACAAGGCAATGGGAGATTTGGTTGGGGAGCAGGAAAGTGCATCCTAGGCAGAGGAACAGCATGTGCAAAAGCCCTTTTTTTTTTTTAAAGATTTTTACTGGGGAATTGGGGGGATGGGAACAGTGCTGGGGAATTGGGGAAGGGGAACAGACAAGTTGCTGTTGTTTTTGTTCTTCAATCTAGTTGTAGAGGACGCCGCTTCACTGGCCCAAGCTGGCACCGTCATTGTACTCCTCCTGGGCAAGGCAGATCAGTCGCCAGCTTCTGGATGGCCGCTCACTGCGGCTGCTGGCCGCTCACACTGGCTGCTGGCTACATACGGTAGCCCGTGGCAACCCGCTGCAGCAGTGGCTGCAGCCTACGCCGTCGCCCGCGACTCATGGCTGCCCAGCTCCAGGTTGAGCTGTTGTTCAGCATCTTAGCTGTGGAGGGCAGTGTCACTGGCCCTCATACGTGGGATCCGAACCGGGGCCCTCAGGCGTCCCAAGCCAGTTCTTAACCATCGCGCCACTCGGCCGGCCCCAAAAGCCCATTTTTGAGGGGACATGGGAGATGTTTGGGACTGCAGATAGTTCAGTAGGCTGGGTATAGAGTTTCAAGTGTTAAGAGAGAAAGTAGATCTGGACAGGATCATGAACGGCTTTGCATATCATGCTGAGGAATTTGAACTTTATTCAGAGGGCTCAGGGCAGCCCTCAAAGGGTTTTAAGCAGGGAAGTAACTTGTGATTAGAACAGCATCTTAGGAAAATGCCTCTTCCTGCAGCATGGAAAAGGAGTTTGGAGGGAGACAAGACTGGAGGCAGGGAGATCAGTCAAGAAGCAGCTGCAGAAATTTAGTTGACATGGGTGGCCGGCTAGCTCAGGTGGTGAGAGTGCAGGCTCATAACACCAAGGTTGCCAGTTCGATTCCCACATGAGCCAAGGAGATGCGCCCTCCACAACTAGATTGAAGACAACTACTTGACTTGGAGCTGATGGGTCCTGGAAAAACACACTGTTCCCCAATAAAATTTATAAAAAAAGAAATTTAGTTGATAGATGATGGTGGCTAGAATTAAGATGGTAGAAGAAGGAAGAGAGAAATAGAGAAATTGAAAAGAATTAAGTGATTAGTGGGCTGTGAGATCCTAAGGGTAATAGAGGAATCAAGGATAACACCATTTTCTGGCTTGGACACCTTGGGTGGGTGGTGGCACTTATTTGCTGATTTGAGAGAAATAGGAATAGTGAATACAGGTTAAAGGGAATGAGTTCAGTTTTGGACATACTGAGTTTGAAGGGTCTGTAGGATGCCAAAGTGAAAGTGTCCAATAGGCAGAGGTGTCAGTTTATATGTCTGCAGAAAGATCTGAACCTTAAATATAAATTTGTGAGTTATTGGTGTTAATGGAGTGGATGAAATTACTCAGAGGAAGTGAGGAGAGTAACCAGGTGAAACCTTGAGATAGGCCCTTATTTAGGGAAAATGCCTGAGAAAGGGGCTTTAGGAGACTAAGAAAAAGCAGCCAGAAATGGGGAGGAAAACCTGGAGTGTCGAATCCAGGTCATCTGCTTTGCAAAGTAACAGCTTGATCTCAGGGGCATTCATATTTCATATGGAAATCTCTTCCATGGTTTTAGCCTCCCTCCACCTTTTACACCAACTAGCTGATAGGAGTTTGCAGACTTCTAGGTATTCTCAAGTTCAGATCAAGAGAAGATGATCCCTTTCCTCTACCCCACCTTACAATTCCTGGCATCTTTCCTGCACAAATGACACTGGAAATCTTATCCTTCGGAGAAGACCTAACTCCCTATTCACAGGCAGATCTTGCCTTACATTTGCAAGATTACACCCTGAGGGAGATACTGTATCAGAATACAACAGGATACCTATAACCTCTGTGCAAGAAATGGACACACAGTAATAGGCAAGGAAAGGGTGGTCATTATTTCTTAATAGGCAGTTAAGGAAGAGACAGTGGAGTGGTTTGGAGGGAGACCTGGGTTAAGATCCTAGCTCTCTTGCTTACTAGGTGGTTATCATTTGTCAAGTTACTTAGCCCTGCTAATAATTATCAGCTCTCTCACCCATAAAATGAAATAATAATGCCTCGAGAGGAATAAATGATGGTGTTACATAACTCATAGCATGCGTGCCCATTTCTTATTGGATAAAGAGGGAACACCTTTATTCACAGGCCACATCTAGGTTGGCCTACGAGACACTTCTCTCTGACACAGTGTCAGCATTCCTATCTTTTCCTGTTTCAAGTGCCCTGACACCCAGCTGGGAGAGAATTGGTAGCCTGTAGGAGTCTACCAAGGTTATTGACTCCCCTAAAGACATCCATATAACTGAGGAAACTGCACCTCCATAAGCCCTGAACTGCTCTTGTTTTTCATTATGATCTAAGCGAAGACTGCTAATTAACCACTGGAAAGCTCTAACTGTGTGAAAGCTATGTGCATTTTAGTGATGGGTTCCACAGGGAAAATATTATTTTTTTCCCCTCATTTATTTCAGGGCAAAGGGAAACATGATTATGTTGTAATATTAGGAAAACACATGAAAAAAAATGTCTGTGAAAGGACCAGATTCTAAGTGGGTTGCCAGATTGAGGGGGAGACTGGAGACTGTAGGAGGGTACAGAACTAGGTCAGACTGTTTGGTAACCAATCAGAGGTGCAATTCAAAGGACAGTTTTCAATTATTACTAATAATGCACCTTACTGATTACAAATGCACTGTGAGCGTAGGCTGCCTTTAGAGCTAGGACAGGGCATTGAAAAAGAGAAATCCAGGGGTGGCCGGGTGGCTCAGTTGGTTAGAGCGCAGGCCCTGGGCAACAGGGTTGCCAGTTCGATTCCCACATGGACGGAGCTACGCCTGAGCTGCAGCTGAGCTGGTGAGAGCACGTGCTCTTAACAACAAGGTTGCCGTTTCAACTCCTGCATGGGATGGTGGTCTGTGCCCCCCCGCAACTAGATTGAAAATGGTGACTGGACTTGGAGCTGAGCTTACACCCTCCACAACTAAGATAGAAGGATAACTACTTGACTTGGAGCTGATGGGTCCTGGAAAAACACAATGTTCCCTTTCCCAATTCCCCAACACTGTTCCCTTCTCCAATTCCCCAATAAAATCTTTAAAAAAAAAAAGAAATCCATCTCACGAGTGGAACTAGAAATGACTTCAGTCAAGTGAAAGCCACTCAGACAAGTGTGACATTGGAAAGACATGTCCAGAGGTCAGAGGATAAAAAGTAGAGGTTTAGCAGTAAATGCCAGACTGTTGGCTAAGAGCAGGCACTGCCTGCTACAAATTTCAAACACTGGGACATGGGTCAGCTTCTCTGAGTCTTTTTCTCTCCAGTAAAGTGATAGTCTTGTATTAGATGATCTTTTAGATCCTCTAACCCCCACATTTTATCCTTTTACGATTTCGTAATTCTAAGCTTATTTGATTTAGTTCATAGACCTAATCTACAAGATAGTCCAAAATGTATCCTTTCAAATTTTTTATTTTAGGTCTCTAGCTTCAAATCATTTCAGGCAAACTAATAGGGCAAGAAACTTTGAATTACCGGATGGGACTGAGAAAAGGGTAGGAGACAGCAATTTCATTTGATATTAACTCAGTTTGGGTATTTCTATCTTGACCCATTTTTTAGAGAAGAGAAACGCTGAGGAGAGATGGTAACCTGAGGCTTCTTTAGCCTGATAGGAAAGTAACAGCCAGAACACTGATGATCCAAGGAAAAGTTTGAAAAAAACCTTGTGTTCTTCTTTAGGGTGGTTATATTAAGGAAGGTGATACTAATCTGCACATTAGACATATAGCAAGAAGAATGGGCTTCAAAGAGCCATTAGGAAATGTCTGAATGTTTGGGGGATTTGAGTATTTTGTTCAAGGCTAGCTAAATGGTCTGTCAATAGAATATATGAACCATACAGTATTTCTTCCTGTATATTTCCATCAACTTTTTTTTAGTTATGTAGGTAATCAATACATTTTTGTTATGAAAATCTCAAGTAATACAGAAGTATACAGATGTGGAAGATAGATCTCTTCCTCACCAACCCACCTCTCTATCCTGTCTAATCCCCCACCTTCCTTTTTTGAGGTAGCCATCAACATTTGGAATCCTTCCATTTCTTATTCTTTGCTTACCCCCATCCCAGTATTTCAGTACCCTCCCTGTCCCAAATACCCTGTCCGTGGAGACCAGTGATAAGAGGAGCACCAGAAAGAATGAAAAGCTTAGAAATCATCCACTGACCAAATTGATGCCAATGGTCTTAAAAATAAAAAATAAAAAAAGTAGGGCCAGGCGAGTGGCTGGTTGGTTAAGAGTGGCTGGCGAGCTCTGAGCAGCAGAGCTGCAGTTCGGATCCCACATGGGCCAGTGACACTGCCCTCTACAGCTAAGATGGTGAACAACAGCTCAACCTGGAGCTGAGCTGCCGTGAGTCGCCAGCGACTGCATAGGCTGCAGTGGGGCTGCAGTGGGCTTCCGTAAGCTACCGTGAGTGGGCCGGCAGCCAGCGTTAGCAGCCAGTAGCTGGTGTGAGCAGCCTGAGCCACCGTGAGCGACCATCCAATGGCCGGCAAGTGACTGCCTCAACTAGGAAGAGCGCAGTGATAATAACAACATAGGCCAGCGAAGTGACATCCTCCACAACTAGACTGAAGAACAAAAGGACAGCAACTTATCTGTTCCCCTTTCCCGATTCCCCAATGGTGTTCCCTCCTCCAATTCCCCAATAAAATCTTTAAAAAAAAAAAAGGTAGAAAAATACCAAAAAAAAACAAAAAACATGCCCTTAAGGTGGCATCATGTACGTATTTTTAGGAGCTAACATATTCTACAACCTGAATGTTGCCAGGAGGTTGGCAGAAACTCCTGGAAGAAGAAAGTACCAAACTGATTAACTTTATTACTTCCACAGGGAGTTATTTCTCTAAAATGTTTACTTTGTGGGTAACATCAAGCCCAGAAAACTTTGAGAGAAAGTTGTTTCAAAATTGTTGTTTTGACAAGACGATGATAAGAGTATACATGATTGAAATCCATCTATAGAAAATGACTAAAGTTTGGGGCAAAGTGCTCCTATTACTATATCTATACCTAAGCTTAACAGAGAGACATTTAGCTGTGGGCAGAGATTAATCTTCTGGGTCATGTTATCAATGTGGCATTATTTCAGGCAAAAAAAGAAAAGTCATCATTTGTAGCAGGCCACCAAATCAATGTATTTGGTAGACACCACAATTATGCATGCGCAGAAAATGCGCTCCCTCCAAGGCAGGAACCACATCCTGCTTGTCTTCAAAATGGCTTTCTTCGGTTTTCCTATTAAGCATTTGCTAATACTCCTGAGAGTCTGTACATTGACTCTCATCAGACACCATTTTATTTTCAATGCCATAGCAATGCCTGACACAGAGTGTGATTCCAGTATATACTTGTTTGTTGCTCAATCGTGGTCCCTTATTAGACCCATTGCTGCTTAGTAATGTTTGTATGACAATAGAGTTTAAGAAACCCTGACTTAAGTAAAGGGTCCTGAAATCTTCCTAGAGGGCAAGGCCTTTAGAAGAGTCCAGAGCGGTGACAACTGAGATGGCTCCTTGGGAGGCAGGATTGCCTGGTGAGGAGTCCCATGGCTCTGTGGCCCAGACCTGGCTTTGGCCCTTGCTAAGTGATCTTGGACAAGTTACTTTATCTCTTTCTAAGCTCCAGTTTATCTCAAACATAAAAATGACAATAATAGTAATATTTTCCTCACAGAGTTGCTGTGAGGATTAAATAAGATTATGCCTAAAAGCACTTGGTGCATAACAAGTACTCAATAAATCAAAAAATTTTTCCAAACTTACCATGAGTTTTCTGTTTCTTGTGAAGTTACTGCAACATTTTCGGATGGAAATGTTTTGTGTATGATGGCATTCTGGAGGCTGCTGGTATATAGAGGCTGACTATAAAGTCCGAAATCTTAATCTTTTTCTAGATGATTGCTGCTCCATATGTAAATACACGAGTTGAGTGCCATGCCTCAAATTCTCTTAGGCTCCACTCATAATATATGCTAGTCCTAAGGTTACACAAGCCACCATCACGATTAGCTTTCCCCCTGGAAAAGGTTATGTTTCTAATTTTCTCATCTATTACAGTTTTATACCTGCAGAAGTCAAAGAAAAAGGAAAGAAAGGCAAAGGAGTTCACTTTGCAGAAACCGATGGTCCAGCTTCAGACAGGTATCTTAACTTCCCAGCCATGGCAGCGTTGCTGATAACACCTCCCAGCAGAATGGCTTAAGCCCTTATAAACTCTTAAGAAAATATCATCCCAATTCTCCTAGGTTGAAATGCAAATACCCATCAAGGAAAGAACATGCACTATTTCATAGTTATGGTGGTAGTTACCATAGTCCCTATAAATGCATCCCTGTGATAATTTGGCTTTTAGCAAATTTTCAGCTTTATATACTTCTTTAAAATCTGAAAATGCTATCTACACCATAAATAGATAATTTCAATAATCTATTTTGGATGGAATTGGTATTTACACTTTATGTCTGGCACTGTGCATTCCTCCTACTCCTAGCATAGTACATATAATTTTTAATAAAATGAATTCCTGAATCATCCTACATTAAACAAAACCCATGCATGAGACTCAGGCTCTTACTTTATAGTAAAAGCCTCATGCACCTCAGGATACAGTAAATCCAACTAAAACCTTTCAAAGCACTGCTAGAGACTGTTATATTCTAAAACAGGTTGACAGAAAAGAGGTTGGCTTCAAGAGATGCTAAGTCACCTCAAGCCTTCGAGAAGCGAGGTCAGCAGGGCAACGTCACACTGCATGATGTTAAATGTGAGTAACTGTTTCCTCATCCTTACGCATCTGGTGTGAACCTTTCAAGCAGCTCTTTGCCCCTCTTTCAACTGTCCATCTTCTCTCCTTTCAGTTGTTGCTTTGCTTTTGCTACAAGAGACTGAGATGCAGCATGTCTGTTCTTTTACAACATTTATGAGGTATGGAATGCTTGTGAGGCATTTTAGATCTTTATTTTGAAGTAATTCCATCTGATAATGATAATAAATCTGATTTTTGAGAAAGGGCATGGGGCGGGCTCTATGCAAACCATCCTCTCAGGATCCAGACCAAAGAGAGGAAGCCAGAAGTTACAGGAGCCCAAAATAAAGTCCCAGGGCAAGGAGTGTGGAGAGCATGTCGTCAGAGTCCCATAAAGGCTGCACCATATTTATAGAATAGTTAGAGGGTATATTCATTTACTGAAGATCCGTTTTCTCCACTAGTTATGTTTGGCAGCCCCAACTAGGTGTGTGATTCTTGGCCTTTCTAAGCCTCAGTTTCCTCAGATGCAAAATTGGAAGTAATGGTGTCTCCATATGGCTGTGCGTGGAAAGCGCTTCACATGGCGCCTGCGCTTGCAAGTGCTCCGTGAGAGTTGGGTCTCCAGTGCTATTGACAACCCTCCTACATTCCCTCAGCTTTCAGTGAAGGCCTCTGAACACCTGAGATTTTTCACCTGACGCTTTATTCCATGGCAGGAGCACACTAGGGAATCAGTGCCTCAGAAGCAGCTGTAATCTGTGATGTGCCAGAGAGAGAGTTGGTAGATAAATATCCCATCTTCCAACTGTCAGGATAACTACGAGAAGTTTTCTGCTCTGTCTCCCAGAGTCCCCTACAGGACTGAACTTCATTGGTCCATAGTGATAATGAACTTGTTAACCCCTTTGTTGGCGTCCTTCCTTTCCTATCTCACCTCCCCACTCTCCTCCTGATGTGTCCGGAGATCTCTTCTCAAGTAAACCACTTACTCTCAAATCTTTGTCTCAGAGTCTGTTTCTGGGAGAACCCAACCTGGGATAAGTAGTTATTAATATCCTGAAAAAAATCTGCGATGCTCACCTTCATCCTGCTCCCAAGGTTTAGTTAAAGAAAGCATTCCAGAGTAAGAATTTCCATTTGGGGTGAGAAAGAAAGCAGCAAAAGTCTTGTAAGAATATTTAGAAAGAACACAATGACTTCTGGTTTAAAAACAAATGAGATAGGATTGTAGATCAGTGAAATCTTTTTGGAGAGCAAGACTTATGAAATTTTAATATGTATATATACAGTGTTCTAGCAATTACACTTCTAGGAAGTCACTAAAAGATATGGTTATAAGGATAATTACTGCAGTAATGTCTATAATATTTTAAAAAGACCTAAATATTCATCAATAAAGGACTAGTTACATAAATTATGAGATACAGAATACTTTATTCAACTGTTTAAAAGAATGAGAATCTATGCATAGTATTATGGAAAAAGGTCAATGCTACACAAATTTAAGTGTCAAAAACAAGTGACAAAGACTTGTGTATACAGGGCCAGCCAGGTGGCTAGGCTGATGAGAGCTCATGCTCTTAACAACAAGGTTGCCGGTTCGACTCCCACATGGGATGGTGGGCTGTGCCATCCTCTCCCCCAAACCCCCCCCTCCCGCTTCTAAGACTGAACACAGCACCTTGAGCTGAGCAGCCGCAGACTTGTGTATACAGCATCCTATTTGTTACAAAAAAATTAAGGCATATATATATTCATGAATGTGTGTTGGTGGGGAGGGGCCTTACGTATGATTGTCTATGCTTTAGAAATTTTAGGAAGGGTTCATAACAAACTTGTATCAGTGGTTACTGCCAGGGAGTAGGATGGTGAAAGGGGTGAGAGGAGAGAACTTTTTACTTGCTATATTTGTGTACATTTTTTAAACAAAGGGAAAATATTGCTTGTATAGTAAAAAATTAAATTTAAAGCTGATTGATAAGCAAAACTTATCAATTTAATTTATCAATTATCAAAATGACAATTTAATGTCTGACATTCCAAAAAGTTTTGTTTACAAAAATCAGATTTCTTAAATCCTCAACAGTATAGTAGGTAGGATTTTAAATGGGAAATTAGTTGTGGAATAGGTGTGATAACATGTATTTCAACTTAACCTTTGTTCATGTATTTTTCATGAGAAACTTAGTTTGAAATATGCTATTGTTAATTTCTTTTGTTTTCATCTCCCCATAGGAATAAGAGTCTTGACAATTTCCTCGTGGCATTATTGCACTATTTATCTCATTACTTGGAAAAAATCTCACTGGAAAAGAAGCCCAAAAGCTATATGGTGTAAGTAGGATTTTGCAGTGTGCCATAGAGTTTTATCATTGACAGTATTAAAACTAACTTTTGTCTAGAGTGAAGAAGTGATGGAGAATTTTAAATCTTTGTAGTATACTAAAACATTTTACATGTGAGGAATTTACCAGTTTTTAAGGCTTACTGAATAATTCAGATGGGTAGTCTGAATACAAAATATTCCAAATAATGTAGACCAGCACTGCCCAATAGAAATATAATGCGAGCTGCATATGTAATCTAAAATTTTCTAGTAGCCATATTTTTAAAATGTAAAAAGATACAGGTCAAATTAATTTTAATAATTTATTTTACACAGCGACCCCAAAATATTATCATTACAACAGGTAGTCACTATTAGGTAGTTATTGATGAAATACTTTTATTTTTTTTTATAGTAAGCCTTTGAAATTTGGCATCTATTTTATACTTACAATGTATCTCAATTCAGACTGCCCGTAGTAAGTGTTCAATAGCCACCTGTGGCTCATGGTTACCATATGGGACAGTGCAGATATACTAGATATTATTTGTATGCATTTTATGCTAAAGAACAAAATTCTTGCTAAGGGGTTTTTAAGCATCTAATTAAATAACTTAGAATTAAAACAATTAACAGATATGACCAAAATGATATTCCATATCACAGAAGAAATTGTTTTTCTTAGGCTACTTATGAAGAATTTGACTGCTTTAGATAGAGGTGGCTCAGAGCTATACACCCAGCACAAGAATCTGGAATGCAGAGTCCAGAACAGAACATTGCCTCCCGGGCTTGGTGACCTTTCAAAAGCCATGGTACTTTCCAAGGGCCCAGACTGCCCCTCGCCAGTGTATGTGGAACCGGCCCAATGATTTAGCTGTTAGGAATGCTGGGAGAGTCACTAATTTGTTGCTGCAGAATGTTTTAGAAATGCAAAACCCTTGTATACAACCAAGCAGTTTGATTTTATGGATCGATAAATGTATCCAGACAGCAGTTTCGTAAAGAACCAAATAAATAATTCAAACACTGCTGCTGTAGTAAAGCCATTATAATATGTAACATCTGTGTTGCTTCAGGACTGCATTTCACATCAGGGCAGCCAGAGATCATAAAGTGTTTGTGTGGGAGCAAGCAAAAGGGCAAGCCAGCTACGGGCTCGGAATGTTTGAGGGATCTTCCTCGTCCCCAAAAGGAACTTTAATTAGACTTTGGTGGCATGTTAGTATATATTTTGTGAGGTGTATTCTCTCCTAATTCTGAGAATTATTGCTAATCTAGCAGGAAGATTTGTTTCATTTCTTTCTTTTTTAAAACTTTATTGGGGAAGAACACTGTGTTTTTTCTGGGAACAATGTGTTTATTTGAGGACCCAACAGCTCCAAGTCAAGTTGTTGTCTTTCAATCTTAGTTGTGGAGGGTGCAGCTCAGCTGCAAGTTCAGTCGCCATTATTCAGTCTTGTTGCAGGGGGCGCAGCCCACCATCTTATGCGGGAGTCAAACCAGCAACCCTGTTGTTAAGAGCACGCACTCTTAACCAGCTGAGCCACCCGGCCGCCCTCGTTTCTTAATTTATGGGAATAGAGAAGAAAGGTTTCTTAGTCATTTAAAAAATTCACTAAAACTTATTAGAACACAGTGGTATAAGGTAGGTTTTCTTAGAAGAAATCAGTTACAGAATGACAAAGAAAAAAGACTTAAAATTATGGATTCTGGGCTGGCTGAGTGGCACAGTTGGTTAGAGCACAAGCTCTGAGCAACAAAGTTGCCAGTTCAATTCCCACGTGGGCCAGTGAGCTGCCACTGAGCTGCCAATGGGCAGCCGGATGGCTCAGATGGTGAGAGCGCGCCCTCTTAACAACAAGGTTGCCGGTTCAACTCTCACATGGGATGGTGGGCCGTGCCCCCCCCCACACACACACAACTAGATTAAAAGTGGTGACTGGACTTGGAGCTGTGCTTGCACCCTCCACAACTAAGATTGAAGGACAACAACTTGAATTGGAGCTGATGGGTCCTGGAAAAACACAATGAACCCCTTCCCCAACTCCCCAACACTGTTCCCTTCCCCAATTCCCCAATAAAATTTTTTTTTTAATTATGGATTCTATGGTGTGATTCTAAAAAAAGTATAACAACTTCATTTTCAGGCTTCTGGTAGTCTATTGGTTTACTTATTATGATAGGAATAAATTGCATTGAGATACGTGGACGAAAATAACTAAGGAAAAAACTGATTTTAGTAAAACTAGTGAAGTATAACATAGGGATAACAATAGTACCCACTTCACACAGTTATCGTGCAGATTAAATGAGATAATGCATATTATCTTAACCTAGCACTTGGGGGGAAAGCCTACAAACTTGAGAGGAGAGCGGAAAAGGATGTAGGATGATAGCAAAGATACAGTTTAATGGTTTTAGATGATTAAAAGCCCAACTCTAGAAGAAGAAGCCTTATTCCCTTTTTACAGATGAAAAAGCTAAGGCTCCGAGAGGCTGAATAGTGGGCTGGAGATTACATGCATTATGATTGGTGGGACTGAGATTAAAACCCAGGTCTATCTAACTCCAATGCCTGTGCCTAAACCACTCTGCAATGTGCCCATCACCTGCTACCCATCAACTATGCTCTCTTTTCCAGAATTCATCCATTGATAATTAGGAGTTATAGTGCATATATAGATGTTGATGTGAACAAAACTGACTCCATGTTTGTATCCCTCCTTTTGTTTCTCTTCAACTTTCCATGCGGAGCGCTGTGAGCTAACTAGTCTCAGCACCAAAGCCTTTCAATGAATGATTAGTTGTGTCCTGTAAACTTACACAATGTAGTCATAAAGATTCCTGTCAGTAAATGACCAGAATGGCATAGTAACCGAGATAAATATCAAACTAGGAGTTGGCGTGAATTCTAAGCAATTATCCATCTGAAGACCACCAGGAGATATGGTTCCTGGCTCGTACCGCATTCTTTGTCCCTTTATCTTGCCAATCATTAGTAGTTCAGCTATACTATAAAACAGTTGTTTGGCTGTGAGGATTGGCTGCGCAGGCTCAGACTACTGGACTGCCTGTCCGCTCAACTTGTACTCTTTGTAAGTAACTTACCTTATAATAAATTCTGTTATAATTAATGGACTTGCCTGCTTTGTTTTTCAGTCTTAAAATGCCTTCAGGGTTCAGTGGTAACTGTACCTCTGCTCTACCTTCAGGCATACGAGCATAGCTTCTGAACAAAGGCATAATTGTGTGTGCAGTTGTGCAGTTTTAAACATCATAAGTATTTTTCAAGTCATCACAGTCTTCACAGTTAATAATTTTTAATGGTGGCATAATATTCCATCAAGCCAATGTATGTTTTTGACTTACTGACTTACCTATTAAGAGGCAGTACAGTATGGTGGTTAAAGTTACAGACTTCAATGTCTGGTTTAAATGCCACAGGGAGTCATATGTTAGGTTAAACAGTATCTGACTATTTTACTACTCATTTTATCCCTCTATTTTATATATTTTGGGAGTTTCCGGTTTTTCTGATGGACAAATAATAATTGCAGTACTGAGTATCTTCATGCGTTAGATTTTCCCCTAATTTTGGAGGATTTTTAAAAAGAACAAATTTCTAGGAGAGATTATTGGATCAAAGTTTATGATCTGTTGTATAGCACTTGAAGTTATTACCAAATTTTTTTCCAAAGGGTTGTACGTGAGCTTGTTTTAAATGCCAGGTTCTATCCTGGCCTACTGAATCAGAATCTTAGAGTGAGGTGGCGTTGGGAATCTGCACTTGTAGCAAATGCCCCAGGCGATTCTTACATACCTTAAAACTTGAGAACCATTGGCCTAAAAGTTTCAAGGCATTTCTTGATTGTTGTTGTTTGGTTTGTTTTATTTACAACAGCAAAGGAAGAGTATTAGCTTTCGGCAGCTCTAGCAAAGTAGGAGTGAATGATGAGGGTGGGGACTGCTGAAAGAAACGGAGAGGCAGGCACAGTGATGGCCATTGGGGTGCTCGTGGGGATGTGTTTGAATTATATGACATTTGGGCATTTAAAGTTGGAACCCACTTTATTCTAAAAATTCATTTCATTTCAGCGACTCACAAGCCTTCTTATCACATATGAAAATGCTTTGTTCTTCGAACTATCTGTATTATCCTTAAACCCACCTCTGTTCTACCACAGCATGTCCTCATGTGGTCAGTCTAATGATTAACCTTAGAAGGGGCAATAATTTTTCCCCGATGTTTAGAGTGCATTTTATTAGGCTTAAATCTTTCTGAAAATGAAAAAGCAGGAAAAAAAGTTAGTGGCACTTACCTTTTCAGTAGCAGTCATTGGAATGTATTGTCAGCAATCTTGCTTCCAACTGCATATTGTACGGCAAAAACTTCTAAAATTAGGTTTCAGACATGCTATAACCTAAGAACAGGTTGTCTTTTAGAGTTCACTGGTAATTCAGTTGGAACTGGGATGTGTTCTCGTAGGGCAGCAACGTTATTATAATTGATGTCCAAGTTTCAGAGTAGTCCACAGATGGCTCCATAGCAAACACAGAAGGGAGAGCAGGCAAACGCTGAGCCCCCACACTTAGCAGTGACATCAGGAACCCAGGGGAAGCCGAGGTGGGAAACAGCCTCCATGGCTGCCGTAGAAACAGCAGGGAGCTGGGCTGCCAGCTGCCTCAGAGACCAAGGTAGTGAATTTGTTATTTGAACTGTTCTATATGAGTTAAGACTGCCCGTATATAAAATTAAGGACACATAGCATAAAGTATAAAGAATCTATTTTATTTTATTTTTAAAAGATTTTTATTGGGGAATTGGGGGGATGGGAACAGTGCTGGGGAATTGGGGGAAGGGGAACAGACAAGTTGCTGTCCTTTTGTTCTTCA